TTTGAAAATGAGAGTGAATAAGTAATCAAACAAAATATTGAACTGAATTACCTCACACGATGCGACAACTGAATAGAACTTTATGAAATAATTTCACTCTAAACTGAAAAGCATTTCTCGCCGAATCTGACGGCAACCGTTTCATCCTTTTGTTGCACACTCCGCATCTTGTGAAATGTGGCATTCGACATGTGATCCAACATTGTTTTCTTTGCGCTTTTTAGACAATTTCTATGTCCATAACTACACACGTATTAGTGTAACATCTGTTCTTAAGTGTGTGCGTGTGGCAAACTGTGGCATTTTCTCTTGTTCTTCTCAGTACCATTACCGCCCAACATTAATGTCTGAAAAACTACTACAAACATCGCAACCGGTTGATTTTAGCCGACAACCAAGCAATGTTGGATTTGATTTAGCCTATTCGCCATGTGAGGCAGGTATGTTTAATTTTCACAAGTAAGTTGCTCAATGAAGACTGCTGTTTCTACAAATGACTATGCTCTTCTTCTCGTTTTAGAATTCATCAGGGTCAAAAAGCATCGGCATTCCTCAGAGATGAGTCCGACGGTGAGTTAGAGTGTAGATGACACCAGATACTAGAAATATGATCGATCCTTATCCAAGATCTGATCATGCTTTATGTGTTTAGCTCCAACTCTGTCTGCGCTTTCGCCCGCTACTGGTAAAAGCTCTTCGTTGTTTGCTAATTATGCAACAAATTCCAAGAATAATAATACATTAAATACAACAGATAATATACTGAAAAGTACTGGAAACACGATAGGCGGCTCAACGGCAACAACTCCATCCTTACCAGCATCTGCGTCGTCCGCATCTTTCTTCCCTCTCACATCAGCACCGAATAAAACACCAACAAGTTCGTTGACAGCGAAACCGATTCATGCCACATCGTCCGCATCATCGTTAGCCACTCTGACAGATGCTTTCAAAAGTGCAATGGGTCGAGGTTAGCTGTCTGCTCAAATCGATCGTCACATTCATTCATTCCTGTTTTTAACTTTTAGGTGCATTATCTGCGGTGCTCAACGATCAAAATAAACAACATCAGCGTTCAAGTAGTTTATCGAAAAAAGAACTAAATCATTTGTTTCCACAATCAATGTAGAATAGTAGTACATATATGAACAAGTTGAAAAGAAGAAAACAACGAACATCGAACAGAGCTGGTCGTAACTCTTTTTTTTGAGCACTTGTCCATCTTAGTTGTATCTTTTTTTTGTTATTGTTTATTTCATCCCTAGTGTTGTAAGTATGTAAGTAATGAAAGTAAACACAACTGCTACTTCAATTCTTATCCCCCGCAAGAAACTAGTGAGGTCAGATATGGATAAGTTGCAAGTAGAGCTTGTTTCTACAAAAGAATCAACACTTTTTTTTCTCCACTATGTTCATAAATGAGCTCAGTGTTTGCGCTTTTTCATATTATTTTTGCGTGTCTGTTTTCGTCGTATGTTTTATTTGTATTTTGAGTA